ACAGCCCGATGCACGCTTATTCGCGGATCTTTGTTAATTAAAATCTCAGTAACTATTGCAAATCTAGCAAAATGGTATAAGACTTTTTGACTCAGTTTTACTCCTTCTACCTGCCTACGAGAGATTGTACGGCCATTCTGGGACACCCTGTATATATAAATAATTTAATAGAGTTGTTCATTTTTTTTTGCTTCCCAGAGAACACATTTACGTTTCGACAAAAATTTTCTGTAGTAAACAAAAAAGATTGATAAAAAGCGACTATCAGTATTTATTTTGACATTCAGTTCACATTGAAAGAGGATTTTGAAACGTACGCAAATTCAATGCTTTGAATATATTTTCACGCTAAGTTGAATATATTTTTATCCAGCTTTTGGTTCTGTGTATAGCTTTTGTTTAAATAGCTATTATTAATTGTATATCTCCGACAGAAATTTTTTTCTTATTAATTTACCAAAAAAAAAAAAATCAACTTTTGTGTACACGTATAATAATAAGTAATAAAATATAAATTAAAAATTAGATAAACAGATATATTAAGTGAAAAAAATTAATAAATTATGTATTAAAGAAATGTTTAACTTTTATGTTTATTTCAGTATGCTACAAAAATGTCGCCAAAACTCTTAAGCTTCAAACGTGCTGCATAAATAAACACTTAAACGACAGACACCAATTTCTCTGCGATATTTATACCATACATCGTTAATGTTGAAACGTTTCAGTAGATCGAGTTCTGATGACCCCCGAGGGATTCGATAAAGAAACCGGGTTGATGCTTAGTATTCTATCGTTGAAAGCTATATCCGGAAAAAAACATGTGCGATGGCGATATAGTCCTATCGCGCCGACTGAGTTAGTCATTCTAAACGGGTTGGATACAAAATATTTGCTACTTAACAAAAAATGCGGAATAATAGACAGAGAATTGAAAGAGTCTCAGCTAGATACATTTATATATATATATATATATATATATATATACAAAATGTTTACGTAGGCAAAATGTTTGTGAAGTTCATGGTTTCTATTTTCTTGAGATCCAGTATTTATATAATGCAAAGTAAAGCAAAAATCGATATCAACACGCGGGATATTTATAAGTTTGTAATATCTAAAAAATATTTTTATAAGTATGTAAAAAAAAATAGTTAATGCGACATTGTTGCATCTTCCTCTTTTGTGCACTCTCACTCTCTCTCTCTCTCTCTCTCTCTTTCTCATCTGCTATTTCAGTTGCAAGTCAAAACAATAAGTTAATTATTTTGTTAATTATAATTTTGTGACCTGACGCAAACGATAAATTCATTTTGTGCTATACGCTCCTAATATTTCATCGTTACGCACGCATATCCAAATTCGAAAGAACATATATATACATACATACATACATACATACGGAGGCAATTCGCACACGATATCGATATGAACACGACAAACCGCAGCGTCGTCGCTCGCACCACGCGCGAAACATATATATGTATATATAATAGCTTTATATTCACGAATGCCACAATTGTAATTTCAATCTATTCGCGCACAGTTGTCAAACTGGCGCCACGTCGAAAACGCACCACTGGTTCCCGTTCGATCGTCGAATGGTTGGCACGCACGGCAACTTTGGATGAGTAACCACCGCGAAGCGCGCGCGGTGTCGTATTAGCGCTGGAATCGAATTTAAACGACTTGTTTCCGAAAAATCTCTATTATACAAATAAACTTTTTTCAAAAGTGTTATCATTAATAATAAGAAAAAAATCGCGCACTTTTGCGAGCGAGAGAGTTGAGATATAAATAACCAAAAAAAGACACACTCATAAGAACTTTTATTCGATAACGTGTCACGACTTCGTACTAGGAGAGACGCTTATAGTTTGACAAACTATACTTATGACTTATCTAATTTTATTACTTTTAAAACTCTTTGATGCGCCTCGCGACCATCTTGAATTTTGTGACGTAGGAAACGAGGAAAATTGCCAAAGTTTCGTGCATTTTTTTTTTTTTTTTTTGGTGAAAATAAAAGAGTATACTTATGTATAAAAACGCGCGCGTAAAATCAATAAAGTATACACTCGTAAAGTATATTGGACAATTTTTTCTTTTGATTGATCGCAAAATTATATTTAACGTACGACTAGCTGCAAAAGTTTCATTTTTTTTTTTCGACTCAATTTTGCTGATGTGATATATTGTTGCGAGATTGTCCTTAGATTGAGTTAAACAATATGATCGTTCTTCAATCACACGTGTCATTTGCTGACGGTTTTTTTATATTAAATAAAAAAAACAAAACCGCGCGTGTACTCTAATTTTAATTCTACGTGAGTTTGTATAGAAATATTTGTTTATATATTTTAAAGCGCGTGAAACTTGAAGGCGAGATGTTCTTTGAATGTTTTCCTCGTCGTTTTCTGACGTCATGAAATCGAAGACGACCGCAAAATATTGAGGAGCCAATCTTCAAACATCAGCGTGATATTGATCGTTCAACGAAAAAATATTATCAAAATAAAATTAGTTGTTGTTAAAATTGCGGTGATGGATGCGCGAAAACGAGAGAGAGAGAGAGAGATAAATCTATATGGAGAATATTTAAATGGTATTTTTCGTAGCTGACAGAACTGTCGCCGCAGTAGTATTAAGTTTGGTGAGGTTCAATTCGCGAAGAAAGCGAGCGATAAATAATTTCCTCAAACTTTGCCCGTCCCGAGCAATCCACTCGGATCTTCCGCGAGAGTCTTCTCTTTTATACCCTGTGTACACCCGCACACACGTAATCGGCCACGTATATACAAACGCGTACAATATATATATACTTTATCGCTACACCTTTTAACTCTTTCGCGTGGCGTAGAGTAGCAGGGTCGCGAGGGCACGGCGCCGGGTATACGACGTTCGGCAACGACCAGCGCGGCAGGGGTTGTGTCGGGGTTAGGAAGAAGGGTTTAGGAGAGACTGGGGAGGGGGAGGAGGAGGAACAGTCGAGGGGTAGACGATGGAGCCTTGAAGGGAGAGGAGAGGGCGAGCCGACAGACCGGCAGGTAGCCGGAGGATGGAGGGATGTGGGCGGCTGGTGCGCGCCGAGCCGGGGGGTGGGGGTGCGCACAGGGGGTGGCAGGCTCTGCTGGTGCGTCAGAGCCTGCAGTGAGCTCGGCAGTGAGGCGAAACGTTGGGCTCCGCGCGGGAGTCTCGTGGCCGCCCGCCGTTTCTCTCGAGAGTCGGGGTGCCTTTTCCCACGAACCATAATCCACACACCACCGCGCCACCCCCGCCTGCCACCGTCTCCCGTCCCCCCCCCCTGCCATCCCGCGAACCTCGGCTCGCCGTGTCGCAGGACTCTTTTTGTGTACGCAGAAAAATATCACGCACTTTTGCGGTTGTTTGTTGTGAAAAAAGCGCGCCGGCACTCACGCACGCACGCAACGCATGCACACAACGTATCCGGTAGGCAGC